ACGAAGTACACTGCTGAGGGGAGCAGCGGGCAGATCAGGAGAGGTCTGCCACGCCATGTGGTCACCTCTGGGGCAGGCGGGAATCGAACTCATGCGGAAACGGCTTTAGATTCTCAGTGCTGTGCTTTAACCCGCTGTGCCACCAGGGAGGACCCAATTTTGAATTTTTATTCTAAGTCAACGAAAGGTATAATAAACAAAAATATAAAATGACTGATCACATAAGTACAGATAGCATTTTCAATGCAATGCTTACCTGTCTCAGCTGATTTAGGTCAGACTTATTTCCCACAAGAACCACAGGTGTGTCATCAGTACGTCTAACTCGATATATAAGTTGTTTAAACTCCCGAACTTCATGGAAACTTCTGCGATCAGTGATAGAGTAACAGATAATAAATCCTTCTCCTGCTCTCATATACTGATCCCGCATTGCAGTAAACTCTGCCTAGAGGGAAACAAGGGTTGTTAACGTGCTGATGTAACTAACAACTACATACCTACAGGCTATTTCACATTAGAGAAAAAAATAGGTTGATTACCTGCTATCCTGATTCAGAGTGCATGAAAAATTAAAAGAGATGAACTAGTGATCTTCTCTGCATAGGCCTTCCCTTCCCCTTTATATTACAGTGAAAACATCTTTCCATGATTTAATACCTGTCCAGCTGTATCCAAAATGTCCAGATTGGCAGGCTCATCGTCAATACGAATCCGAATTTTATAAGCATCTTCTACAGGAGGGAAGAAAGGTGCACTATAAGCCCACAAATGCAAAAACATTCAACCTTATTTAAAAATAAAAATAATAATATTTATTTTTATTCATACAAGAATTGGGGTGTAGACCCAACTCACAAGAATAAGAAGATTCACCAGACAGAGTAGGGAGCCAAACAGGTAAACCCAGTATACTTCCGGCAGAAATACAGTGCTAAGGAGAATAGTGGACAAGACATGATGATCACCTCCCTGGTAGGGATCAAATTCAGGGCACAGTGGCTGCCAACGGCTTGAAAACCCTGTGCCACAAAGGTGGCCCTCAACCTTAATTTTTAAAAGGATTTATTTTATTTATTTATGCACACAAGAGCTGGGGTATAGGCCAGAGGTGTGGAGATGTGAGAGGATTCACCAGAGTGGGGAGTGGAAAAGGCAGACGGACTGAAATACCCTGCCAAGGGAGCAGTGTGTCTGACACAGGAGAGGTCTGCTGGCCATGTGGGTCACCTCTCTGGCCAGGGATCAAGCTTGTGCTGCAGTGGCTGCCGCCAGCTTTATAGTGCTGAGACTTTTACTGCTTATGCCACCAAGGAGGCTTCTCAATCTTATTTTAAAATTCATCTTATGAAGAAGTACATTAGACCTAAATTCTTTAAGTGCCCATTACTATTCAGGAAACATGCAAAATGCATTGACATACGTAAATTGGGTCTTCAACTAAGGATTTTTTTCCACAAAGAAGTAATGACATAAGGATCCTCCCTGGTGGCGCAGCAGGTTAGAGCACAGCACTATGAAGCTATCACAGCCACTGCAGCAGAAGTTTGATCCCAGCCAAGGAGGTGACCCACATAGCACAGCAGACCTCTCATGTCCTACCTGCTGCTCCCCTCAGCTGTGTATTTCAGTAGATCTGCCTGTTCTGCTCCCCACTCTTGTCTCTGGTGAATCCTCTCACCCACCACACCTCTGGTTTGCACCCCAGTTTCTATATGTATAAATAAGTAAGTCTTTAAAAAAAAAAAAAAAAGATGACATCAGTTTATAAGATACTGGGTTATTAAAAAAAATCAGTACAGAAAAATAACTTTACCACTTATTAAATAATTGTTACCAAGTTATACTATGTAGTTTTATGTTTCCTTACTAGTCACAATAATCCAATGAGGCACTTATCTCCATCTCACAGAAAATATTAAATGCTAAAATGTGTCTTCCACATCACAATTAATGATCAAGTCAAGTTCTTACGTACTTAACCATGTGCTATAAAGCCTCCTCATTTTATAGAAAAAAGGGGAAAAACATCACTTTTTTTTATTTTCTAAATAATTCATACTGCTGTAACTTTTCCTTTATGAAAGCAAATTCTCTGTATATTTTATTATAGTAACCTTGCAAAATACAGTAAAGTTAAAAAAGCGGAAAAAGGCCCTCCCTGGTGGCCCAGCGGGTTAAAGCACAGCACTAAGAAGCTTAAGCCACTTGCGCATGAGTTCGATCCCGCCTGCCCCGGAGGTGACCACATGGCAAGGCAGACCTCTCCTGACCCGCCTGCTGCTCCCCTCTGCAGTGTACTTCTCAGTCAGCATGTTCTGCTCCCCGCTCTGTCTCTGGTGAATCCTATCACACTCCACATCTCTGGCCTGTACCCCAGTTCTGTATGAATAAATAAATCTTAAAAAAAAAAAAAGAAAAAAGAGGAATAAAACCACTCATTATTACCACTATTCAAACAAGTGTTGCTTACATCCTGGTTGTCTTTCCTTGTAACAATTTTTTCCCCAAAGCCTATTTCTGTATTTTTGACCTTCTCTTGAAAGAAGAGTTCACCAAATTAATAATTCTTAAACTACACTTCATGAACCACTAGATTGAGCTGTGAAAGAATTTAATGGGCTGGAGACAGCATTAAAACGATTAAGCAGAAACTAAAAATGAAAAAGACACCAGAGCACACCATAGGTACTAAGTATGCTTTCATTTTATTTCAACTACATAAAAATGCACACATGGGGCCCTCTTTGGCACAATGGTTTAAAGTGCACTATGAAACTATCCACAGCCACTGCAGCATGGGTTCAATCCTGGCCAGGGAGCTGACCTACATGATGCAGCAGACCTCTCCTGTCCCACACACTGCTCCCCTCAGCAGTGTACTTCAGCTGACCTGCCTACTCTGCTCCTCATTCTGTCTCTGGTGATCTTCTCACCCCTCAAACCTCTGGTCTGTACCCAGTTCTTGTATACATAAAATAAGTAAATCTACAAAACAAAAAAACAAAAAAAAAAAAACACATACATGTACACACAGGTACACTCACATACTTACATGTGGACTGATTACAGCAAAGTTTTTTTTCCCTTAGCTTCAGCAATCAAAGCTTGAAACAGAATGCATTAAATTGTAAATTCAGTGACACCAGATACTGTAGACCCAGAGAGTCTACCACAATGCGTGGCATTTAACTAGAACTCAAGAGACATAAATATCTGATGTTAAATCAAATAGTATTGTCAGGAAAGTAGGTGACTGACTGGTGAAGTTGATTACAAAAGTTAACTCTTCCAGCAGACAAGTTTATGTGTTTTACTTTAAAGAAAGGAAAAGGTATCTCAGGAGTTCTGAATTACCTAAGCCCTAAATTGATTTTTTTTAAAGCTTACTTTTACTTAATTATGCATGTAAGAACTGGGGTATAGGCCAGAGGTGTGGGGTGCTGAGAGGATTCACCAGAGACAGAGTGGGGAGCAGCACAGGAGGATCTACTGAAACACACTGCTGAGGAGGTGGCAAGACAAGAGGTCTGCTGTGCCATGTGGGTCAGTCACCTCCCTAGCAGGGATCGAACTCATGTCTCAGTGGCTACTGACAGCTTAACAGCACTGAGACTTTAAACCCTGCACCACCTGGGAGACCCCCAAACTTGACTTTATCCTTAGAATTCCCATCAGTCTGAATCCCTGAAAAATGTTCTAAATTTGACAAAGAAGAAAAAAACAAATATTGTTTCAATTTTCCTCAATCCACAGAAGTCTCAACTATATAAAAATGACCAGTCTAAAGATGGGTTAACACAGAACACTCACAGGTTTTGTGGAAAACAGAGCAGCAGACCCTCACCCAATCCAAGTCCTTTTAGACTCAGTATCAAATCCTGAAAACATCAATAAAATGGCCAACTTCTGGGCTCTCTCACATTCTTTTATTGTGGAAGATAACCTTTTATTGCCTCAAACCTGCTTCCTTATTGATGGAGGTGGGGGGAGGGATGATTAACATAGTTGTTAAACAAACTATAGAAAAGTAAAGCATCTGGAGGAGCAGGCCTGAGGCAGGGATATGGAGATTGAGGCCCACTGTAAAACAATCACTGGTCCTTTCAAATCTACCCAGTCAAACCAAATACAGGAAAAACCCTCAGGTGCCAACCCTGGAAATAAATAATTTAGCAGCCGTTAACAATCCACAAAGGATTAAGCCCCTCCTGAAAACCCGCATCTCTGTGCTGACAAGGAGCAGCTGCTTTCCTGCCCATCGGTGACACAGGTGCTTCTCTTCTTTCCACCAACCTCTACCCCTAGGCTCCCGCCTGCGGCCATGCAGGCCTCAGGGGCCACTCCGCCAGCTTCTGTCAATCTAAGCATCCTTTCTTTACTTCCCATTTTTTAAATAATAAACCTGACCTTCTGCTATAACTGAACACTTCTACCTTGTGGGGGAAGTCCTTGTTTGCCAGTGAAAGGGGAACTCTGATCAAACTTTTCTCAGAGGTAACCTAAGGACCCCGTGCTCTGAAGCCAACACCTCTCCAAACCAGTATCACCTATGGCTTCAGAAATAACAGCAATGATCTTAAGTCCTTAAAGAGAATAGATAAAATATGACCAGAAATGCTTTTTAATCCAATATTCTCCCAAAAATAAAGCAATAAAGATTGTAAAAGACATGAGAAAAGACATAATACACAGTAACTTGAAGTATAAAGAAATAAAGGAGGGTTTGGTGTGGAAGAAGTCCAGGCTCTGCATGTCTGGGTCAAAAGAGTTCAGCAGGCTGGCTCTACTTGTTTTTCTGCTTCCTTTTGTGGAAGTTCAAACCAGCTGACTCATACTTACAGAATTAGGCTCAAGTCAGATCCTAGAGAAGTGACAGCAAGAGACTTAAGTGGTCTTTAAATTTTTCCTTTAATCTGGCAATACTGTTTATCAATCATAAAAATGTCAATCAAATGTCCTATTAGTGGTCCATAAAAAACTGAACGTGGCTTATGTACACAAGTTATCAGAAAAAAATACTTGCTTACCACTGCTATAGTACTCGTAAATTAATTACACACCAAAAAATCCTCAGAATAAAGTTAAACATCATCTTGGAAAACTAAGTGACTACCTGACTTACCAATAGTGGGGTCATGATCTTCTGGGAATCGGTGACTGATGAACTGCATGGTCATGGCTTCAAAACAAGAAATGAAAGGTAAAATTCACACAGAAGTAACCCACAGAAAGAACTAAGTAGCAACACTGCATTAGAGCCCGTCTCCCATTTGGTTTGGATGGAGATCATCTGTCCTAAATTCCTTTCATCCTTCCTTCTTGAAAAAAGAAAATGCCACTCACCACTTTTCCCCACACCACCAGCACCCAGCATCACTAATTTGTATTCCCGGGAGAGGCCCGCAGGGTTGCTACAGCAGCTACCAACTGGTCGAGCGCCAGACTCCATTGTCCTCTTGGAGAATCCTGGGTGCCCCTTGGGAAAAGGTACCTAAAAGAAAGAAGAAAATATTTAATCCAGGAAGGAGACACCTTGACAAGGGCCTAGAGGCAATGCTCTCTCTTCCCTTCTCTGCCCTATTATTACTCACGTTCCCTCCTGCAGTCTTTCTGGAGGCCCCAGAATCTCCCACACCCCTACCTTCGCTCCAGGACAGTTCAATCCTGTGACACACCACAGATTTTCCGCATTACTTTGTCCAGAAAGAAGAGACACTGTCGGCTTTTTCGGGCTGGCGGCACAGCGGGCAGGCGCCCCCGAGCGCGAACTCCCGGGTGAAGGAGCACAAGGAACACCGCCCCGGCGGCGGGGGTCCTCCGAAGCCCGCGGCGCCGCGGTTCCGCCCCCTCCCAGCCCTCCGAGGCGCTTTCTCCCGCGGCAGCCCCGCCCGCCATCACGGCCCCCACCCCGCGCTCCAACAGCCGAATGCCAGCTGCTCTTACCTTCGGGTCGTGAGGGCCCCGGACGGGCCCCCCCGCAACTCGTCTTCCTTCTGGCGGCGAGGGTCGGGCGCTGACCTGTGACCCTCCCGCAACCGGGGAAGATGGCGCCACCGGCACCCACGTCCCGGCGGGAGGGGCGGGGCCACCCCGTGACGCCCGCGGCTGGGCCCACCCCCTCCGGGGAGGGGCCGCTCTCGCCCGGGCCTCAAGCCCCGCGCGCGGCTGGCCGCCACTCCACTCGCAGGTTAAAGCAGTGACTTATACACGTCAATAAGGGAGACTTGAGCAGGTGCACTCGCGGGGCCTCCAAAATAACTCTTCAGGGCTCGACGACGCTCGTGCTAAAGCCGCATTTGGCCACAAGTAACGAGCCACCACCAAATCGCCCCCAGGTGAGGAATGAGATCAGTTCACTTCCCATAGCAGTTTCTAAACGTTTCCAAAAAGGGACAGCCGTGACTTGGGCTCTTGCAAACAGGGATCAGGCCTCAAAAAACAGATGGTCAGTTAATCAAAGTTCTACATGTATTTTAAACATGTAAATGAAAGACGGTCAAAATCACTTTCTGTCTTAAAACAATGTACTGCCTTCCAGTAGGAAATTTTAAGTTTTCAGGTGACCTCTAATTAATGCAGCCATAAATGTACTATCACTATATTCCTCTATTTAGGCAGCACACATAGTTGATAGGTGTGAAATTTCTGTTGAAACTTACACCTTTAAAGAATCCCCCCCAAATAATTTGTATTTCCCTTAAAAATTCATTTAGTCCTTTTAATCAAATCAATATAAAGGAGGGCTCAAATGTGAAATGGGGAAAAAAATCGAGCATAATATTCTACACTTTTCATCTGAACTTTCAAAGGCTTATTTAGCAAAATCATGAAGCTCTTGGAATTATATACAGACACTTTAAGCTCACATGTATTTTTCTGATGAGATTATGTTTCGTTATGGTCTGAGTAAAAGTTTATGAACTTTAGTGTACGGATGGGTTGTGAAAGAAAGAAACCATAAGCAGAATATTTATACATTTATTTATAATGAAATTATGGTCTAAATATTTACAACATATAGGAAACCAGAGGATCAATTTGTACAAAGCCAGCCTGCAAAATATTCAAATGTGCAAAAGTGACAGTTCAGTATCTCAAACTACTCCTGGTTCAGCAGACTAGCTCCTTCAATTTCATACATCAATATTTGATACAAAAAAGTTCTTTTGGCAAAACCTGTAATGCCAAGAAAAAGGACAAGTTGCAATTTCAGTCCACCATCCTATTGCCAGCAGTCACATCTCTTTTTTAGCTGCAACCAGTTCTGAGAGAGACAGACCACTGTTTCATTTCTGTGATGAGTTTTTGATCAAGTAGTTTTCTTTGACCCAGCTGAAGACAAGGAGCTTAGAAGGGCAATAAAAACAGCAATGGCTATCTGGGACAAGTGTGCCTGAAAAGTGCCAGCTTTGGATCATCCCAAAAGACACAACAGGAGAAAGAATATAACCCTTCCCTTACCCCTGGATCCAGCCATATCCAACTGTACTAGTAAAACTGCATTTTCCAAAACAGAATCCAAAAATGAAATAGGGACGAGTTTTTCTTAGATCTTAAGTACTAAAAGGATGTCTTAAAATAATTCCCTCACGAAGAATAAGGCTTTTTTTGTAACCAGTCATTATCAAAATTGACCAAGCAGTAGTAAAATATAAATAAAAACCTTCTTCTATGTCAGATAGGGGCTATTTGTTTGGAAAAGGCTGGATGAGATCAAATGTATATGGGAATGACCCTGTTGGGATGCTTTGTTGCATAAGCACATTTCACCAACCATTAAAAAGCTTCAGAGACAAGTTTGTGATTCTATGTAAATTTTAACAGATGCTATGCCACTGCAGAATTAAGGATGTTTTAAAAAAGACTGGAACCCCTTCAATAAAGGGGACACTGCATCTCTAAGGACTTCTGCAAAGGTCCACTGCAAAGGTCCAAGATGGTTCCCAGTACAGGCCCCAGAGTCTTGTTAAATCAAATGCATGCATTATTGCTAAAGAAGAGTCACCGAAGGTCAAAAGTCAGTTCCAGTATTTCCTACGGGGCCATCCAGAATGGCATCTGTTGTTTAGCTCGTGGTTGTGATGAAGGGTACTGATATCCCAAACTCCAGCCCTGTGGAAAACTACTTGCATTTTTATGACCTCCGTGTTCCTCCTCTTCATCAGATGAATCTGCAGCATAAGCCACCAAACCAAATCCCTTCTCCGCAGTTTTCATCTTCTTCACTGGATAATCTAAAACAGAAAAAAACAACCCAACCCCAAACCCCACCAAGAAAAAAAAAAAAGATAATACCATAAATTCGTTAATAAAAAAAAGATGTTAATTGTAAGTGGTTAGTTGGACACCATTTTGAGGTCACAGGGTCAATGGTCACCCAAAAACGTTGAAGATCACACGAAAAACAGCACCAGCACCAGCAAATGTGAATCCACCAGAACCATGTAAGAAAACAGAGAAAGAAAAAAGAAACACAAAAAAAAAAAAGAAAAAAGAAAAAAAAAAGGAAAGTTAGCAAGTGAGTCTCTGGAGCCTGATATCTCACCTTTTAAAGAGTTAAAAGAAAAGAAGTTTAGAAAAGAAAAAATATTTTTTCTTGTTTGATTTTTATTATGACTATAGGCAAGGAGCAAAATGATCCCACGTAACCCTACAGGATTTAGAGTTCTGGAACACTAGGAGGCAACACTATTTTATAAAAGCCACAAGCTGATCAATAGTTGTAAGGGGAGATGTGGCTCATCTTCCAATACAAAGAAAAAAAAAATCAATCTTTATTAAATCTGTATCAGATTACTTCTAGGTATTCACACAACAAAGGCAACAAAATTTTGAAATGACCTACCAATCATTAGCATTTCCTAGGGTTTTAATGTCACTGATGCTATGTATAAAATATAAGTCGACTGACTCTTTTCTAGACACGTCGGGTTGAAAACAAAAGGCTGTGTAACTATATGCTGTCCATATAAAAAAAAAATTCTCATTAGCCAGTAGATTACAGAAGTTGGATTAAACACCTGAATGAATCACACCTGAATGAACATCAGGTTAGAAAACTAAACACTTATGACCAGTCTTGGACACTCCCTACTCCCCCCAATACACCTTACTCACCATGACTCCCTGTTAAGGTCCCAGACCCATTCCTTTCATCAGACTCTGATTTTATTCCAGTCACTGGGAAGGCTGGTGGAGGCATCAACTGCCTAGGAAAATGAAAAATGAAGTACTTTCAGAAAAAATCAATTTTAAGTTCTCTAATACTTTGGCAAAATAACAGTCTGCAGCTAATCTTTCCAGTTAAATTTTTAAAAAGATTTATTATTTATGCATACAAGAACTAGGGTACAGGCCAGAGGTGCTGGGGGTGGTGGTGAAAGGATTCACCAGGGCAGAGTGGGGAACAGAACAGGCAGATTGAAATACACTACTGAAGGGAGTAGTGGGCAAGATAGGAGAGCTGCTGAACCATGTGGGTCACCTCCCCGGCCAGGGATTGAATTTGTGCTACAGTAGCTGTGGGTAGCTTCATAATGCTTCGCTGTAACTGCTTATGCCATCAAGCAAGAGGCCCTCGAATTAAATTTGACACTAATTTCTACTTTCACGAACCCCCAGGCCTTCAAGCTTACTAACAAGTTATAAGGTTATATGGTCTGTTGACATAGCCAGAACATTCCAAAAATAGAACTGTTATGGGAAATCGGCTCCTACTTGTCAAAGATAATAATACAGGAAAGGTGAATTCAAGAACTGGATGGCAGGATGGATTTTCATTTAATAGCTTCAATGAATGATAGGCTATGGTCATAAAAAACAAGAATGGCTTCTTTGTGTAACACCTTTGTTATTCCCTCTCCCTGCATTGAATTAATGACAATGTAGCTGTTTTTAAGATTTTACTTTCTACTACTGCATCAAAAAGAACTCACCTGAGCCAAATACCATGTTTTTTGTTTTTAAAAAAGATTTACTTATGGGGCCCTCCCTGGTGGCGCAGGGGGTTAAAGCACAACACTGAGAAGCTAAAGCCGCTTCCGCATGAGTTCGATTCCCGCCTGCCCCGGAGGTGACCACATGGCGCAGCAGACCTCTCCTGACCCGCCCACTGCTCCCCTCAGCAGTGTACTTCGTCGATCTGCCTGTTCTGTTCCCCACTCTGTCTCTGGTGAAGCCTCTCGCCTCCCCTGCACCTCTGACCTGTACCCCAGTCTATATGCATAAATAAATAAATCTTTAAAAAAATATTATTTAAAAAAAAAAGATTTACTTACGTATGCATGTAAGAGCTCAGGTATGTAGGCCAGAGGTTTGAGGGATGTGTGAGAAAATTCACTAGAGACAGAGTGGGGACAGGCAGATCTACTGAAATACACTGCTAAGGGGAGCAGCGGGTGAGACAGGAGAGGTCTACTGGGCCATGTGTGTCAGGTCTCTTGCCAGAGATGGAATGAGTGCTGCAGTGGCTGAGGGTAGCTTCACAGTGCTGAGACTTAACCCCTTAGCCACCAGGGAGGCCCTTCATTTCAGTTTAGAATACAAAGTCTGTGAGGGCTCTCCGATGGACTAGTTAAGTCTCAGTGCTATCAATGCTACTTCCTGTGTTCGATCCCCAACTAGGGAGGTAACCCCCTGATGAATCCTCACTGCCCCCCCCCACGGCCCTCTTACCTATACCCCAATTATTCTATGCAAAATAAAACAAACCCCACTTTAGAACACAGAAACTTGTGTCAATTCAAACAACATCTGAATATATCCACATCCACATACATGTGTTTCAACCAACTCACCTGTCCCTCTCTCGCTCTTTGCCTGAGGAACTTGCCAGCTTCGATCCTGCACCTTCAATCTCATTCTGACTGGAGAAGCCTGTACCTAAATTAGTCATATGAATGGGTCCATGCTATGAGCAGAAAAATACATTGGCATTAGCAAATCTACAACTGCTGTATTGACTTTAGCTCCTTAATGTAACTGTCAAGTGCCTCATCTTTCGAGTAATAGCAGTAAGCTGCACTACATAGTTCTTTGGGATCTGGAGTACAACCAAAACAATGAAGGCTTTTTTCTCTGTAGGACTCTGTCAGTGTTGCTGTGACTCTTTTTGTGATGTTTATCTGCTTTCAACGATCCATAACTGGTTTGTATAAATCTAGTGCTGAACTATGAAAATGCTTCAATGTTTTGTTTCAAAAGTTTCCAGAATTCTAAAAAGTAAAGGTGCTTTAAAACAAAGATGCACCCAAGCCACATATTTTAATGATTAAAAAAAAAATCTAATGAATGACTATTAAATATTATGTGTTTGCACAGGATTACTGCATTTCTGTCTCTTTTAGGGAGTATGGAAGGAAATGGAGAAAGAAATCACTCTCAGGGTAGAAGAGAATAAGTTGAAAGCCAAGATTTTAAACTCAAAGCACATAATAGGGGAATAGCTTTTGGAGAGATGTGTAGGGAAGTAAGAACTATCCAGCTTTCAAAAATATTCAAGAGTCCAATGTATGAATAAGACGACGTGCAGAATTTGATAAAACTCATCCCAGATGATAGTCATAGGGGACTTCTTCTAGTGGAGAGTTTTGTAGTCTTATCACACTGACCTTGGAAGACAAAATCTACCAAAGAGAATTACTCTTGCTTAAATTAATCCCCCAAGAAAAAAAATCTAAATAGATTTTCCTGGAATCCTAGTGGAGAATAGTGGATATATTTGTGCATTTCTTTTTCTAAAGGGAGAATTAGTAGGATGCAATGAAGAAAGTAAGACATGGTATTTTATTTAACCTGGTATCCAAGAAGTCCAGATTCTCGTTCATCTGGTAGCTCCTCTGTGAATCGCCTCTTCTGTGCCTGGGGTTGAGTTGGGAGTGGGGGCTGGGGCTGGGGCTGGGGCGGGGGCTGGGGACCAGCCGGCAAGGCAGTTTTGACAGGAGCAGCAGGAATAAAAGGCCCACTCATCGGATTCTGGGACCAAAACAAAGGGGGGGGGCGAGTGAGAATAACCAACTATTGATTTAGTAAACAACAATTACAACATACTTTAATGATCAGAATGTGCCACATGAGTCTTTCATCTGTTTCCTTTTTGTATAAAATTTGCTAACAGCATCACCTAGCTTTCCCACCTTCAAAGGGAAAGATGAAACTGAACCTCTCCCATACTCTGAACTGAGAAAAATCACTGTTTGTTTGGGCTATTAAGAGCAAATAGGATTGTTAAAACACAAAACCTCGGCACTTAGTTCAATGGTTATCAAGCAAGAACATTCTCTTTACAACTAAGGCCCTTTAATCAATGTGATTAGCTTTCTGGATAATGCTTGTGGCAAAGGAAACCTCATCTACCACTTCTACAGGATAAGATGTTACATTTAGAGCATGTATATCTTATGTTTTAAGAGTTTCTTCCAAAAAAGAAAAGGGGCAATCAAAAGGCAGTTTATATTAGAGAAAACAAACACTCCTAAAAACGAAACTCTTAATAATAAACAGCTAACATTTATTGACTGTTATCACCTTACATAATTCTGTAACTATTATCACACATGCTCATTTTGTATATAGATAGTCAAAGCCTGGATCAGAAATAAGTTATATTCCAAGATCATGCAACTCAAAAATGAATAAGTCATGATGAACCCTTGCAGTCTAACCTTAAATCTAAACCACTCTGTTGTATTGCTTCCTGATTACAAAAAAAAAAAAAAAAAAAAAAAAAAAAACCTCACATCTTGAGAACTACAGATCTACCTGTAAACGTAAGGTAAAATAATTATGGATGGGGAACAGAGTCTAGTTCTTAAGCCCCTTTCTGCTTCAAATGTGCAGTCCCTTTCAGAGCCCACAGTCCACGGGTGAGAGACTGGGCAATGGTTCGAGGCTGCACCTTACTCTTGCATGGGTACACTATGACAAGCCCACAAAGAAGGGCCTACCATAAATCCATTTCCATGCTCACACTGACCTCTTCCCTACCACGAAAAAGGACTATATAGTAATCTACCTTGATGAACCACTCACATACTACTCTATGGCCCACACAAACTAAACTATTTTTACCATCTGGTTCTTTACAAAAAGCTTGTTGACTACTGCTATAAACTGTTACATGGTGGCAAGATTTGTAAAATTATCTGTAAACTTTAGGATGAATGCACACACACAAAGTATTCAGGTAGCCTGGTGATGCGAACACAGTGAGAAAACAGGAAAAAAACCCTCACACTGTATATTTATTTCTGGTTAATCCCGCCATCCTCACCCTCTCCCTGCCCCAGTGTTCCAAATTCAGCAGTATCCTGTTGTACATCCTCACAGCCTACCTGTCCAGTGCTAGCTGGAGGCTGCACTTGTGTTATCGGGTATTGTGTTGGCACAGGTGGGACTCCAGTAGGTAATGCTGGCAAGACTCCAGGTGCCAATGAAACAGCAGGTGGCACTATGCTTGGGACTCCATAGGGAGGTTGAACTGGCTGCTGAGGAGGGGGAACAACAGGGTAACCAGACTGATAGCCATTGGATGGATAATATGGTGGCTGAGGAGGGACACTACTTATAGCAGAGGGTTGTGTATAGCCTGAGGGGGAAGAAAAAAAGTGTTTAATCAGCTGCAGCAGAACGAGACATTTTAAATGAATAATTAACTTAATCTCTAGGGAAGCAAAATACTGAGGCACGAATGGCTTTCCGAATTACCCTAAGTTGAAGGGAACATTATCAGTGCCCTGGCACAGTAATTCTAGCCTCAAGTATCATATTTTACACATCAATATCACTAGCAAAACATTTTCTAAACACTTCAAGACATACACACCTGGTAAAGGTACAGCAGTATTAATCTGATTCACAAATCTAGAATATTCAGCATGAACCTACAAGAGAAAGGAAAGCAAATCAACACTGGACAGTCCTAACTGGTGGGCAATTCATAAAGGTCTGACTATACAAGTTCAAGTCCAAAGTAATTAGGAATTAAGTTTGTCCATTGATGTGCTGATCAAGTTTAAACTCATCCAATTTAAATTTTAAGGTACACCTATCAATTTTTTAAAGACTTATTTATGCATGCAAGAATTGGGGTACAGGCCAAGGGTGTGGGGGTGAGAAGATTCACCAGAGACAGAGTGGCAAGAGAAGAGGCAGATTGACTGAAATACAATGCTGAGGAGAACAACGGGCCAGAGAGGAGAACTGCTGTGCCATGTGGGTCACCTCCCCAGCCAGGGACAGAAGTTGTGCTGCAGGGCCCTTCCTGGTGGTACAGTGGGCTGGAGCACAGTACTGCAAGCTAGCTGCAGTGGCTTCACTGCTAGTTTGCTCTCTAGGCCCTGGAGGTGACTCACATGGTGCAGCAGACCTCTTCTGTCTCACCCGCTGCTCCCCTTGGCAGTGTACTTTGTCAGTCTGCCTGTTCTGCTCCCCACTCTACCTCTGGTGAATCCTCTCACTGCCCCTGCAGTTCTGTATGCATAAATAAATAAAATCTTAAAAAAAAAAAAAAGTTGTGCTACAGTGGCTAGCTTCACAGGCCTGTGCTTTAACTCCTTGTGCCACCAGGGAGGGGCCACACCTATAGATTATTAAGCAAGGTTTCGAAAATCAGGATCATGGAAAATTCTAAATCCCAGAAATGCTGGGTACAAAATCAGAGAACCAAAGAAACTTAAGCTGTTATAGAATTTGTAAGTTGTGAGTGTAAGTGTTCAGAAATCGTTCATTCCATCTACAAGGTGATCCACTTGATACCCAGAGCTGTGCCACTGTGCTATAAAATGCTGTTTGTAATTATGCCAATGGAAAGGGTTTGTCTACTATTCACCATAGATGTGGTGATAAAAACTAGAAGTGGGGAATGTAGCTGGGGACTGAAGCCAAGGACTGTGGCAGGTGGTACCCTCCCTGAGGGGGTTTCTGTGAACACAAAACAGCCTCCCATAAGGTATAAAAAAGTATCGATTTTGCAGCAGCAACCTTAGAGAGGAAATAGGAGTGACTGGAGCAGAAAGCCACTGCAGACCTCTGAAGAGGAAGGGAGTTTGCAAGGAGCTGAGAAACTGAAAAGGTTACTGGTTTTGCTGCAGATGTAAGCCTGGCTTAGCTGCCTTTTTTGGGGTCATTTTGGTGGCTGTGGCTGCTGTCCTGAGTGCCCTCTGGTACGGTGCTGAAACGTCCTGCAGTTCTGGAAGCGTCTTTTGTCCTGTTTTCTGTTGTCCTCTTGAGTTTCCTTTGTCCTGGCCTGGAGTCTGGCTGCTGTGTGCCCCAGGTCGACAGAGGCAGGAAGACGCCATGTTAAACATTGTTGAGAAAGGAGCTGCTCATCCTCAGTGGGAGGAAGACGCCATCATAAAGGTCTGTGTGCAGGACAGTACTGGACATGACTTTGGGTAAAGTAAATGGCTATTAATGGCCTCAGTGACTCTTGTTTCTCTGTTAAGAGAACCCCTTTGCTGTTATTTCCTGAGCCTGAGCAGTCTTACAACTGTGCACACAGGTGAAGAACCCAGAGAGTATTTGGTAAAGTATTTGGGCAACAGGGCCTTGGCCAGTTTAGTCTCCCTGCCACCTGGTATCACACCTATCCTCAAGGAATTCAGTTAATAGAGGCCTAATACTTGCCCCAGCTCCAGTTCTGCATTACGTGGATCCTGAGTCTATAAATTCAAGTAGCACCAAAAGATGGGGAATGGTCAGGAAGATATCTGATACAAAGTTTGCTAAATCAGGTTACTTCACAGAACCAACTTCCTAAGGGGTATCCTGAAATACCAAATAGCACAAACATGAACACAGTCAACCCCAAAATCTGAGTATGAGCCCTTCCTAGTGGCACAGGGGTTAAAGTCAGCACTACGAAGCTATTGCTAGCTACTGCTGTCTGAGTTCAATCCCCAGCCAGGGACCTGACCCACATGGCACAGCAGACCTCTCCTGTTGTCACCTACTGCTCCCCTCAGCAGTGTATTTCACTAGATCTGCCTATTTTGCTCCCCACTCTTGTCTCTGGTGAATCCTGTCACCCTGTACACCTCTGGCCTACACCCAGTTCATATGCATTAAAAAAAAATCTTAAGCAAAACAAAAAAAGAGTGTGTAATCAAATAAGCAATTACCCCCCCAAAACACTGCTAACTGTGCTAAACCTATCACTGCTCTAATCTTCAGCTGAAACTATTACTAAAAAAAAACTTACGGCCCTCCCTGGTGGCGCAGCGGGTTAAAGCACTGCACTGAGAAGCTAAAGCCACTTCCGTATGAGTTCGATCCCCGCCTGCCCCCGGAGGAAACCACATGGCGTGGCAGACCTCTCCTGACCCGCCCACTGCTCCCCTCAGCAGTGTACTTCGTTGATCTGCCTGTTCTGCTCCCCACTCTGTCTCTGGTGAAGTCTCTCACTGCCCCTGAGTCTCTGGCCTGTACCCCAGTTCTGTATGTACAAATAAATAAATCTTAAAAAAAAAAAAAAAACTTACAATGCCATCACAACCAGCCTGACTGGAATGAAAAGCATTATTTAAACAACACATTGTTGAGATTTCAGAATCTAGAATATAGATTTTTCAATTTCACACTGAAACAGCATGCTACTGTGAAACTGGATAGGGTGGTGGCCTTCCTTAGACTATGTAAGGTACTAGAAGAATGTAATGGTTTGACTAGTGTTTTCCCTGCCACACACACTCCCTCCCCCTTTACATCTACCCGGAACCTCAAATGTGGCCTTATTTGGGGAGGTGACCATTGCAGATCTAAATTATTAAGATGAAGTCACACTGACTGCTATCCTCAGGAGACAGACACAAAGATACAAGACAAGTGGCCAGGTGAACATGGAGGCAGAGACCAGTGAAATGCCATGGCGAAGAATGCCAAGAATTCAGGTGATCAGAGAGGAAAGTGGCCCAGAAGAGAGTACACCTTAGAGCTCCCAGAGAGAAGCAATCTTGCCCATATCCTGATTTTGGAGTTCTGTGAGAATGAATTTATGTTTTCTAAGTGACCCAATTTGTGGTACTTTGATATGGGATGTCTGAGAAACTAAACCAGGTAGGAAAAACAGCTAAGACACAACCCAAAATGGCAGCGGCTCTTCTGAATGAGTATGTATAACTCACTGTTTGCAAGAGATTCTCACAGAGCTTCTTGGCAGCAGCCAGGCCCTCAGATTTGGGATGACTGCAAAAGAATAATAATGAAAGTTCAAAGGGGAGAAGGAGAAAGAATACAAGATTCCACTTTTACTTTGACTGTTGTTTTGTACATTTCATAAATTCAATAGCACAAATCCAAGTCTCAAAAACCACAAACTAGAAAAAATGTCAAATAAGCTCTTTAATATAACTATATCAATTACTCTATATATTTCAATGGTTTCTTTCTCTGAGTAATAGTATATCTTACCATAAAGACACAGAGTGTTCATTAAAATTACTGTGATGTAGCGATGTTGTCACAGCTTCTAATGCAAGTTACTTTAGGCTTATACAGCTCATTGTAGGATCACAGACTTGTATAAAGCCCAAGCAAAGAGAATATTAAAAATCCCAATTTTATCTCCTCATTCATTATTACCTCATTGGGATGATTCCTAGAGTCTGTTTACCCTAGCTCCTCAAATAGTTACCACTGCTTTATTAAATCCAAACCCTCTTACTTTGGAATTATTCCTGCCTGTACCGTTAAGGTGACAAGTACTCAAATGCCTGAGCCCCATATATTCATACCTGATATAAATATACATAGGTTCAAAAGCTTCTCGGCCAGATGCTGGCTCAATGCAGCCTGAACCCTTGCCTCGTAGGAAGACTTTGGCACCTGTTTCAATTTGAATGTGCTGCAAATAGGAGCAACCTGGACCTTCCACTTTTTCCTTGACGTTAAACGTGGGCACAGCATGTTCTAGACCCACAAATAATTTATCTTGAACATAATGCATCTGTGGAAGAACAGAACACCTTAGATTAAACAGAGTATATATAACCTTCATCTTGAAAATTATTGTGCAAAAATACTTGAATCCCTCTACATACTTTTAATCACTTCCAGAATAAGAACACCTACGTTTTCTATCATGACATATCATACATAAAAATAAACCCTGTCTGGTAGTACACCTTGTGAGAACTACACATTACATGTATCTACCCACGTTAACACCTTACTGTGTTCAGCAAAATATTTGTAAGATGTAAAAACCCAAGATGTAATACTGAAGTAAACATACCCACTTTATCCACTTTATAAGCTATGTTTAAGTTGTGCTAATCCATAATCACAACATGTAACATGTATATATACACACATAAGTAATGAATATAAATAAGAGTCTCCTATAAACTGCAATGAAGTGTTGGGTAGTACAGTCAGCCCGTGACGTTCTCCAATAAGGGCTGCTCTCTCAAACCCTTTTTTTCTAGGAGGATTGTATCAGCAGAATCTTACTTCATCAGACTCAGCCTTCTTAGTCCTCCAGCTACTATCAAGTTACAAACTAGGTTCCAACCGCTAACTTCAAATTGTAAAATACATACTCTGTCATCTATTAATCCCCTTTACAGAATGTATCCGTTTGAAGACGTACTCAGAATCTTGGAACCTTAACAGGCCTGTAAACAGGGTATCAACAGTGGGTAATTTTCAGATTGAAATTTCAGAATTCTCCCCCAACACACACACTTGCTGCATTAGTTGGTATATTTATTTAATAGAAATGATAAAGCTGTTCATCATCTCTCCACAAAACATACCCCTGACTGGAAGGGAGGTTTCTGGCTAACAGCTGGAGACAGTTGTGCAATAGGTGCCGGCTGGTGATAGACAGTGACTGTTGCACCATTGAAAGTTGGACTAGTCCCTGTAGCAGCTTTCACTACCCCATTGGTGATAATTTCTTTGATTCGGTTTACTGCTCCTGGGAAAAAACACAGCTAGTAAGATACTATACCAAAGAACTGAATAAACAAACTAGTACCCAATGGTCACACAGGCCAATGCTCAAGTCCTCAAGTATTATTCCATTTTCTAGGTTACCCAGCACATGACTTCCAACCTCTCTAAGCCCCCATGGACATTCAGGATTGGTTCACAAACCAGAGTTAGAATACAGCTGTTAGGAAGCAGGCAATTTATTGCATATTGCTCTGAATTTTGCCCTTTAAAAAAAGCAGTATGTAAGCCCAAAGTATCACTTACTGTCCACTAATTCCCGTGTCTGGCCCTGAACATGAAGATACAATGGCCGATCCCTATAAAGAGAAATATAAAATGATGATCCCAAACTAGTCACAACCACAGAAGGAGCCAACTGGGTTATCAAGTTAATCTGTAATCTTTAAAGCTTCCAAAAGTAAAAGAGATGATATGTACAGAAATGGTTGCTTCTATTTAATTTCTAAGAATACGGTTTTGCACAGCTGGAGAAATGAGTAAGCCTTTCTTCTTGCTTAAAGTTAACTGGCCCATACAGGGGTTAAGTCTATTCATAAGGGTTCAAAAACATTAGTATCAGTCAATTGAGATAACCCATTATTCAAGAACAGAATTTCTTTGCGCTGGATGTCCATTAGGTTATGGGCAAATGTACTCTTACTATGGAAATTAATGGTGCAGTAAGGATAAATTCAAAAAATCACCCAAGTACCTGTCCTCAAAAATTGATAATGAAAGAGGAGAAATGACAGGGAGATGAAATCTTTACAAAGGATAACTTATAATCTATAATTATCAAAGAAGCACTAAGGACATAGAGAAAAGGCTTTAAAAAAAAAAAAACAGCCCATTTGTTAGAGGAATTATTTCCATAGAACAAAAATTTAGAAGCATATTCATTAAAAATCAACAAGTGTTATTTTTTAAACCTTTGGATGTGTTTCTGCCAATAAAAAAAAAGAGCTGCCAGCATTTGTCACGTCTATTCTGAGGCGCAATACCTGCATGCGCGTGCACATGCACCCCCGCCCCAAGCTACCAGCCAGAATTTACACGTACAGCCTGGGAGAGAAAGACACGAAGCAAATGCCAGCGGGGTATGCCAACCCTTCCCCAGAGTAAAGAATATGCATACACACCCTAGTCCCACTTTGGCCTTCTCCTCAGTTGTCATGAACCGCCCTCGAGTTGACACTGCAGCCCCACTAAGCCGGCTGATCTAAAAATGCAAATGTTCTATTAAAATAGGATGTGCCAATTGATCGATTTTAATGATAACTAGCAGGGCTGACTTTCCTCATTCATTCCACCAATAAGGCAGAAATGAGTTCTCTTCTGTATCTGAAATTTCCGCTCTACTGGTTCTTTACTTTCACTAAGTAATTCCTGAGTTAAATTAAACCCAACCCTCACTTCAAGCCTAGGGCCCAAACCCCTAAAGAATATCTGACTCCTGTTAGTCTGCATTAGTGATGTTGGTTTTCTGAAACCACACCCACCCACCACGTTCCCCACAGAAGCCCGACATCTCCACACCTCGTCTTGAGTCTGTCCTCGAGTCAGCAAGTTCCTACATGTGAGAGGCACATCATTGATTTCTACTTCAGCTACCACCAGGTCATCCTTGCTTTTATTGCTAGTTAGGCCTTTGCCAGGAGCCTGAAGCTACAAAAAAGAGAAATTTAAATTTATATTATGAAATAGTATCTTTTCATTGTCCTCAGTCCCAAGTCCCACCATGTCCCTACTTTTCCTCTTCCCGGCCTATTATCACACTTGGAAACACTTGATAATTCTTCATGAATGAAACAAACAACCTCAGTTTGACACCAAGTATAGTTGATCTATCTTAAGGTCAACATCTGATTTCTCTATACTATTAACCATACGTACATTTTGACAACCACATAATTATAGAAACTGTGGAACTAGACACTGCAATCACCACAAAAATTAAAGGCCAAAATATGATGTTTTATAGCTCAATTAGCTAGCTTTACAAGCAGTAAAATACAAGGGTAGAGTCCTAGGTACAATGATGAGCAAGTCCAACAACTTATGCCCCTCACTCATGCAACAGGAAGCTGCCTACGAACTGATGCTGGTCACAACGTATCAGATCCAACTAATTTCATCTTTGCAGTGAACTCAAAGACCCTTAAGCTGCACTTAGTAACCCATTACTCCATTGTATTAAGTGAAAACAGATTAAAAGCAAGCAAGAACCTAAAAAACTGATCTGATTTCTCTCAATTTAATCTACAGGCAACTCCAGAGGGCTGGATTTCAGGGTTACCTGAAAAAGTTTAATCTCAAAATGGCCTCCTCCAACTTTTAGCTGCTTCAGACCAATGTCAAACAAAGCTGCTCAAGGGAAATATTTTCTTTGTGTGTTCCATACATTTTAAAACTGAAGGCAAACTAGATAGACTGCCTGATTGCTCTTTACCTTTCTTTATCCTCTTTCAGTTCACATTTACACATCTCACTGAATCTTTATGACCAACTTTAAAGGTACAGTTATCAGTATTGCCCAACATTACTACTGTTTTCTATCTGGCAGTCTAATATGCGTGCCACTAGCCCCATGAAATAGACTGCACAGGTAAATTATCATCAAACCCATCATAGATGAGGGAATCGAGGCACCAAATGTCAAAGCCACACAACCAGTAACTGGGAATTGCTTCAAACCTAGGAATTCTAATTCTACATCCAGTATTTATGCACCACACTGTCTCCTGGTATCTAAGCATCACTTTAAAAATTACTTTTCAGAGAAAAAATAAACTTAAATAATTAATATCAAGAATTTTAATATTCAAAAAATACTCCACCTTTGTCAGTGTTTTTTTTTCCTTGTACACCTTAGAAATGGACTGATGCAATCTTTGCAAACATTAAAAAATTAATGAATAATGGTTCCCTGGTGGCCTAGGGATTAACTCTCAGCTCTATCTCTGTGATAGCCAGAGTTTGAGCCCCCATTCTGCTCCCCATTCTGTCTCCGGTGAATCCTCTCATCCTCAACACCAATGGAATGCACCCCAGTTCTTCTACGCAAAAATAAATAAACCTTTAAAATCAACAATGAACTTCCAATTCACTAAAGAGTCCCATCAATTCTACACAACTTTAATACTTCACATTCAGATATGTCTGGCTTCTCTACTAAAGTTAGGTTAGGGGTCTCCCTGGCGGTGCAAGAGGTTAAGTCTCACCACTAAGCAGCCACTGCAGGACCAGTTCCATCCCAGGCCAGGAGCTAACAAGCACAAGGCATAGCAGACCTCTCCTGTCTCACCCACTGCTCCTCTCAGCAGTGTGTTTCAGTCAACCTGCCGGTTCTAATCCCCATTCTGTCTCTGATGATCTCCTCCCACCCCTACCCACTCCCACACATCTGATTTACATTCCAGCTCTTTTATGTATAAATAGGAAAATAAATCCTATTAAAAAAAAAAAAAAAGGTTGGAAAGTTAACAAAGAATTGCATTGCCCCCCGTCAGGCTTATTGAGATATAAAGGACAAATAAAAATTATATATATTTAAGATATACACCTTGATGTTTTCATGTATACAGAGTAACGTATTCACCACAAACATGTTAATTTAACATATCCATACTTTGCACCAATTGCATTTTTTATACAGAACTCATCTCTTCATAGGTAACATGGAAGGCAAATTTTAACTCAAGCATAAGGTCTTTTTTTCAAGTAATGATCACAACAGAATGAGATGTCCTGGAAGACAGTGAATTCTCCAACTCTATAAAGTCTTTATCAAGCAAAAGCCAAATCCTCAACTGCGCAAGGTGACTCAAATCAGACAGCCGTAACTCCCACCTCTGGATCCTGGACAAATTATATCACAATCCTAATCTCCTTCATCTGTAAACTGGCGACAATTATCTACTCCAAAGAATCATCGTAGGGATTATTTCAGTAAAAAGCATACATTCACGAACCTTTTCCATCTGCAGAATGTTGAGTGGCAGCTCTCCTGCCCACCTACAACTAAGCAGGTACCTCTAGCAATATATTCCTCCCATAGGAAGATACTTTCCTTCTACTGCAAGATATGTTCAAGGGATCAAAGTTAAAAGATTCAGTCTAATTGTAAGGTTCTACCAGGTTTTTATAAAATGATCAAGTAATTTTCCCCATTAGTATGAAAACCCAAAACAAAGTATTGGTTTGCAGTTCACATTCAATTGCACTTCAGTTAATCATCAGAGATTTGAATCCACAAGTTCTAATTAGAGAGAACTATTTCAAATTAGAGAATTTAAAGTTTCCTTGATTTACCCGAACTTGTCTTTTGACTTCTGAAAAAAAATACAAGTAATCACTAAACATACTACTTTAAACAAAGTGAACACAGACTAAATCTATCAGCCCATAAACATTACCAGCCCAATCAAACCTGCCTGATAAAAGCAAATAGGACAAAAAATGTGTACATTACAAAATTAAACTTTAAATTACTGTACTTATATTTTCTCCTTTTTTAACACAACGATTCTGAGATTACAAGATTGTGAAATAACACCTATTAAATTTGCTATAAGCAGAGTCCCTTCAACTTCAAATACCTTTTCAGCAGCATTCTGAGTTGGTTTCAGCTTCCCTTTGGCCATGAGCATGGCATTGATCTTGGCAGCCACAGCAGCAGCAGCATCCAAGGCTCCAGAGGGAGCAGCTGTGGAGCTCCCAGGATTCCCCCCACTGCTGGTAACCTCCCCACCTTGAGCTACAGGTGGAAGATAAAGAAGAGGTGCTGGCGCTGGTTGGTCCCATTTGCTGCGACGTCTACAAAAAGGAAAAGAAAATTATTAAGACGCTTCCTTTACTACCTACCGACAGCACCCCACTTTCCCTCTCATGTTCTCTTACACCTCCAAATCACCGATCAGGGATAAAATCACCTTGTCTCTTTAAATAGATAACTACTGCAATATATCCCCTTACTTCTCTAACTCTTTCCCGAAATCTACTTCCTTTCTACTCTGCCCCATCAAGGCTCCATTCTATTCCGCACGCCCTTGTTTACTGTCTTCCCCTTGCTTCGTTCCTCCAAAACCACCTGCTTTCCTGTGCCCTCTGATCCCCGCCGGCCTTGTTCAGGGACTCTCGGCCTACCTCTCCCCACAAGTTCGGCTGTCCAATACACACACTTCTCACTTCCGCGCCCCTGCACCCACGCAGATTCCCAAGGCTTCTCGGCCCTTTCTGTGCCCCACGCCCCGTGAGGCCCTCGCCCGCAAAGCTTTACCCGCCGGCTCCAGGATGTGTCGCGCTCCCCGCGGACATGGCGACCAGCCCTGCTCATCCACCCGCCAACTACCCCACTAGCACCGCTCCCGTCATTTCCGCCCCCAACGCCCTTACGCACAGCTTCTTCCGGTCGTGAGGAAAGCGGTTCCGGTGAAATCGTCTTTTCGATTGGATTCAGGGTGACTTCAAGACGTCTGGCTTTCTGAGAGTGGTAGGGTGTGACCTTCCCGCTTGAGCCTTGCCCTTGAGAAAGATGGCTGCTAGCGTTCATATTTAAGCGGAATAGGTGTTGGAAGAACCCATGTTTGTTGTGGGCAACTAGATAGCCCCCCAAAGACAATACACACGAGTCAGGAAATTAAAAGGGGTTTTCCCCCAAAATTCAGCGGCTTTAGTGTGGACTCCCGCCTTTGGCCAGAAACAGAGCTCTATCACGAGTTTTGCCTATTTCACATTTTAGTTACAGGTGCAGGGAAAAGAGAAATGACTCGTCCTAAGGTCATTAGAAAAATTTCTTTCTCCTCTTTACTTTTTTTTAAAATTCTGTGCGGAAGAGTAGGCCATGAAGGTGAATAAGCCACGAGTCCTGCCTTTCTGGTCAGTCTCAAATGGGCAGGGTAGGCAAGCAGACAAACACTTGTAATAACTTGATGTGCTCTTAACCTCAGCATATTTATTAATGTCCTCTAGGGTTTTTTTTTTTTTTAAGTGTTGTAGGGTTTTTGGTTTTTTTAAATATTTTTACTTTATTTATTTAGCATACAAGAGCTGGGGTGTAGATCAGAGGTAAAGGGGGCCTGAGAGGATTCACCAGAGACAGAGTGGGGAGCAGAAAGGCAGATTGACTGAAATACACTGCTGAGGGGAGCAGCCTGGGAGACAGGAGAGGGCTGCTGGGCCATGTGAATCAACTCCAAGACTGGGGATGGAACTGATGCATCAGTGGCTGCAGGTAGTGCTGGACCTTAACCCTTTGCACCGCCAGGGAGATCCCTAAGTGTTTAGTTTGAATTGTCTGCTATGTGTTGTGGGATGGTATGGACTGTAGGTTGGAGGCATGTGGGTGAAAGAATTCACCAGAGACAGCGTAGCTAACAGAAGCAATGGACAAGGCAGAAGAGGTTTGCTGTTCAAAGTGTGGGTCCTGAAGCTTTGTTTATTTTCACGGATTAGGCTAGGGAGGCTAGTCAAGGGGGTCACAACTGACAATCTGAATTTGTTTAAAGGAGCATCAGCTTACTGACCCAAGTTCTCCAGTGCAGTCCCATTCATTAGTTAATCCAGTTAAGCTTTCTGACCCTCCAAGCCAGGCAAGGAATTGTGGCTTAGGTGTTAAATTTAGCATTATATATGTGTCTTGTATTTGTTTTTATCATTCCAACTTACTTTGTTGCCCATAATTTTCTCATAGATCCTCCATTTTGTTGAAAATGACTGTGTTTCATCCTTTCTTAATGGCTATATAGTATTCAATGGTGTGTATATACCACACCTTCTTGATCCAATCATCTGTCCCTGGACATCTAGGCTATTTCCATTTCCTAACTACTGTAAATAATGTTGCTATGAATATTGTGGAACTTAAGGATTTTTTTGTTGTTGTTGCTACTGATAGTTTAATCTTCTGTGGTATATGCCCAAGAGTAGGGTTTCTGGGATGTAAAATATTTTTAAGTTAAATCCAGATTGTTTTCTATATTGGTTGCACCAGTTCACATTCCTACCAACAATGTTATAATGTTCCTTTTTCTCCATCTCCTCTCCAACATTTCTTATTGGGGGGGGGGGGTCATTTTAATATGTAACCTTCTCACAGGTGTGAGATGGTATCTCTTTAAATTTTTAATCTTCATCTCTCAGAAGTGATGATGGTGGGGGCCCTCCCTAGTGGTGCAGTGGGTTAAAGCACAGTACTATGAAGCGGTCCACAGCCACTGCAGCATGAGTTTGATTCCTGGCAAGAGAGGTGACCCACATGTCATGACACACCTCTCCTGACCTGCTCCTGCTCCCCTCAGCAGTGTATTTCAGTCTGTTCTACTTCCCACTATGTCTCTGGTGATTCCTCTCACACCCTGAAACTCTGGCCTGTACCTCAGTTTTTGTATGCATAAATAAATAAATTTTTTAAAATTATGGTGGGATAGGTGGTGGCCCAAGATTAAGTCTCAGTGCTATCACCATTATGGCCTGAGTTCAATTCCTGGCCAGGGTGCTAACCCACATGTGATGCAAGAGACCTTTTCTTGTCTTACCTGCTACTCCCCTTAACAGTGTATTTCAGTAAATCCAACTGCCCTGCTCCCCACTCTGTCTTATCTGCCTTTTGCCCCCAAACCTCTAGCATACACCCCAGTTCTTCCTTGCCAAAATAAATAAATAAATAAAATGTTTGGATAAAATTTCACTAAGTCTCTTAATGAAGCTGGGGCCCTCTCTGGTGGCTTAATGGGTTAGGATGCAACACTGTAAGCTAGCCACAGCTGCTTCAATGCCAGTTTGATCCTTGGCCCCGGAGGTGATCCATATGGCACAGCAGACCTGCTGCCCTCAGCTATATACTTGATCTGCCTACTCTGCTCCCCACTCTGTTTATGGTGAATCCTTTTGCTGCCCCTGTACCTCTGTCCTGTACCCCATTTCTGTATGCATAAATAAATAAAATATTTTTTAAAAAGTGGAAGCAGAGGGCCTCCCTGGTGGCAAAAGGGGTTAAAGCACAGCACTATGAACCTTTCCATTGCCACTGCAGCTCAAGTTTGATTCCTGTAGAAGGAGGTGACCCACATGGCATGTGAGACCTCTTTTGTCCCATCCACTGCATTCCTAAAGCAGTGTCTTTCAGTAGTCCGTCTGCCTATATTGTTCCTCATTCTGTCTTTGGTGAATCCTCTCATCCCGTGTACCTCTGGTCTATATCCCAGTTTTGTATGTATAAATAAATCAATCTTTAAAAAATAGTGGGGACTCCTAGGTATCTACCCAAAAGACACAAAAACACTGAAAAAAATACCTGCACCCACATGTTTATTGCTACTTTATTTACAAGTGGAAAAACATGGAAGCAGCCCAAATGCCCAAAAGTAGATGACTGGATTTAAAAGATGTGGTACATATACACAATGGAATATTACTCAGCAACCAAAAAAGAGAAACACATGTCTTTTGCAGCAACTTGGATGGAGCTGGAAAAGATCATGCTTAGTGAGATAAGCCAGAAAGAAAAAGAAAAATACCGGATGGTTTCGCTCATAGCAGGAGTATAATGGACCAGGCGAAAAAATAATAAGAATAATGAACAGCCATATACCAGAGACATTTTGTGGGGGTGGAGTGGGGAATGGGATAAAAAACGGGGGTGGGGGGTTGGGGAGGGAAGTGCACGGGATTATGGTGATGGCACATGGGTGACTTGGTGACGGGAAACCTGCGGGGATCACAATTGAGATGGGAAAAAAATGTACAAAATGATGTAAAAATAAAGTGTTATAAAAAAAATAGTGGGGAGCAGAACAAGTGGATCTACTGAAATACTGAGGGGAGCAGCCGCCCTGACAGGAGAGGTCTGATGCGCCATGTAAGTCACCTCCCTGGCCAGGCACTGAAATCCTGCCGCAGTGCAGTGGCTGGTGATAACTTGATAGCCCCTGTGCTACAAAGGACCCCCTTAAGTCCAATTCTTTATTTATTTTTTAGTTCTCTTAGAAAGTCTTGATTTTCTCAGTAATGTTTCCCTATTGATATAACCAATTTTAATTTTAAACTCCATTCAATGACACTTTGTTTTATTGCTAACTGAAAAGTCTCTCTTGGGGGCTTCCTCTGTGGTACAAGGGGTTAAGGCACAGCAAGCACTGCAGCACAAAAGTTGGATTCCAGGCCAGCAGAAATCTACATGATCTACATGATGTGGCAGACTTCTCCTGGCCCACCCACTGCTCCCCTCAGCAGTATACTTCATCATTAAGTTTGTTCTGCTCCCCACTCTGTCTCTGGTGAATCCTCTCACTGCCCTTGCATCTCTGGTCTGTACCCCAGCTCTGTATGCACAAATAATTTTTTTTTAAAAAAGGACAGTTTCCAATTAAACACCCAAAGTTACCCTTTCCCTCATGGGTAAATGCCCAAATAATGTTGGCCCAAAGCAGGGCCGCTGAGGCCCAAAAGCTTGCCACAAGTCTTCTGGTGAGGAACCACAGGAAAGGGGCAGAGGTGGGCAGGTAAGTCTGGTATGAAAGGAACAAAGTCAATTAAAAAACAAAAGTACAATTCAAGAGAAAGGCTGCCATTGTCAGCCTTCCCACAGGTCTCTCATCCAAGTCTGTCTCTTTCAAATGTCTCCTTCCATGATTCCCAAATTTCCTGGTATGAGACTGGCATCCCAAATCGCTTCTCAGCTTTTGGCTAAGATCACGTATTCAAAGTTGGCATCCCCAGCAAGAGCTGTTGGACTCTACTTCTATGATGCTCTAGAATTAACACATTTCAATTTCCAAGCCTTCCTACCAACAATTTCCCAGCCTGACATCTAATCATGAGGAAATAGTAGGCAAACCTTAATTGAGGTATGTTATACAGTGTAACTAAACTTCCCTTGAAAGCTGACTACAGATCTGAGGGCGAGAGAAGGTTAAGACTGAGAGGGTGGGGCCAAGACTCCCCCACCCCCCCACCAGTGAACTGGCCCCAGCTTCAGCAGCTCCAGCAGTCCAGTCAGTGGACTTCCATTCCTGTCCCAGAGGTGACCCACATGGTGCAACAGCCCTCGCCTGTCTCCCCTGCTGCTCCCCTCAGCAGTGTATTTCTGTTCTGCTCCACCTGTTCTGCTCCCCGCTTTGTCTCTGGTGACTCTTCTCTCCCCACAGCAGCTCTGGCCTACATCCCAGTTCTTGTGTGCAAAAATAAATAATTTTTTTTAATGTAACATTAAGGAAGTCATAAAAGACAAAGGCTGAGGAACTGTTCTAGATTAAATGAGACTGGAGATATGTGACAACTGAATGTAATCATACACTGAGATTTCATGCAACCATTCCAGGCTGGGCAGTTTCATTGTCAATTCTCAGAGGGAAAGAGAATTTGGAAACTTTGGTGGAAGTTTGCAGGC